TCAGAGGCACAGAGGAGTGGTAAATTACATGAACTCTAGAGGCAGAATGCTGTGCTCAAGTCTGAAAAAAAAAAAGAAAAAGAAAAAGTTGTACAAAGTGCCTGTGGACTCATCTGTTCCAAAATGAAATAATCATGAGACCTACTATAATATCCTAAGGACCAAGTGAGTTAATTCAATAGGACACAGCACATACCAAACAATGCCCCATAAGAACATCACATCTTAGACAGGTCCTTAAACCTCTATGGACTTGACCATATAATTTTGAAACCTCCCCCTCTCATCCCCACCAGGAGTCCTTTGAGTCTTCTGATTTCTCCTATCATCCACAAGGTAGCCTCATTTTAATACTCATAAACAAACGTATAAGGATTCCTCAGGTTACCACAATAGGAGTAAACATGCACTTGTTTAAATTTGAATGGACAAGTAATGTTTGTAGACTTTATTACAAGCCTATTTTAAACAGCCTTTGAAGTAAAAAAATCAACTAAACTGCTGGTTATGAACTCAAAACGCTAGCTACTTTTTAAAGATACAGGAATTTATGAACTCCATTTACTCGATTCTCAAACATAATAAGAATTTTGCAGAGGTATGACATCAGAATCCCATGCTAAATTGTAAAGGAATCAAAGTGCACACAGACTCCTGAGTTCTGCTTGCCTTTGTTATATTGCTGCCTGATTTATATCATCTACTCACAATTACTTTCAAGTAAGGGCTGAGGGCAATTGTACAGAGAGTGGTATTACCAGTCCTGCAAAAGCCAGTGGGTTTTGTAGAAGCACTTGAAGGAACTAACACAGGTTCCCTGGTAGTGAGAAGGTGGGTGGTGGCTCCCAGAATAGCACCCAGACTGAGCTACGAATGAAGAAGAAACAGAAGCTTTCACACAATGAAAGGGAAGGCCGTGGAGGTGGGCACTGAACAGCAACGTAAAGATAATTAGTTCTAACTCAAAGTGGAAAACAGTAAGGAAAGTAATTATGGTCATTTACTAAATGAGAAAGCAGAGTGCGTGTTTTTCACACCACGGAATTCTCTAATGACATTTAAGAATTATGACTGGCCTGGCATACGAACAACTTGGGTTAATTAGGTTAATGGAAGATCCATCTGCCTCTTGTTATCTGTAGTGTGTACTCAGGTAAACATCCAGACCTCAGCTGTTTCGACTTACAACCGACCAGTCCTCAGAACCCATCAGGTTAGGTCAAGGGTCCACTGTATTCCTTATTGCTCTCCCGACCCTGCCCTGGTCCTTCCCTGGTCACCCCCACCCAACTATTCAACTCTATTAAACCAACCTAACCCTAAGACATATTAAAAGGCCATTTTTTCCTTAGTCTATCTCACAGGCCCTACAGGCACTGGTCAGCAGTTTGAGCTTTGCGGGTCTCATCGGCCCTCTTCTTTCAACCTTGAGTCTCAAGACAGGAAGGCTTCCTGAAAGCACGGGTTTTCCAGGTATCTTCCTCTGTGGCAGAGGCACACAGCCCTACCCTTAAATCTCAGATCAGAATCACAGACCTGAGCCTCCAGCTTCCCCTTAATAATTGCTCTGCAATGCTCCTGGGAAACAGAAATGAATTTTGAAATGTAACAGTGAATTATACATTAGGAATTACATATTTAGGCATAGGCTAAAATAATCTTGTGTGTATAAAACATGCTAAAATACTGTTCCTAAAGATGTTATTATACATGATTATCACATATCCTTAGATGAAATTCTAGAACGCAATTTAAAATTAAAGGATATTTATATATGTGATAACAATTGCACTACGAAATAGAGACAACTGAATAGAAATGGCAGAATAAACTACAATAATTTATTACAGGAAGAAAAACACACATGAAATAAACAATTTCCTTTTCAGTGTGTCATTTCTTCAGTTATCTAGCACTGGAAACTCCTCCCATGTGTTAGGAGAATTTTCCACCTTATGATTCTGCATCTGTCAAAGCGTTACTTTGGTGCTCTTCCATGTAGCAAGGGAGGAGGAGCATGGCCCCAGCTTGGCCAGCCCCATACATCTGCCTTGGCTTCCAATAGGCAATAAGTGATGCAAAGCAGGGCTGGGCAGGCACACTCAGGACAAGCAATGAGGCATAGTGCTGTCAGGCATGAGCATGAGCTGCAGCCTCTAGCTCTCCTCAGCACAAGCCTTAACTGCTGTGGACGAGCTCTGCAGAAAACATGTCTGACACTGGCTGGTGAGAGCTGAGCTCCTAGTGTTCCAACCGTGCCCAGGCATGCTGTAAAGTGGCTAATGTTTCTTCAAAGCAGTCAATAAATGTCCTTTCCGCCTAAACCAATGAACATTAGCTTTCCTTGCTTAAACTCAATCCTGTCAAAGACCTCTACTACCAAGTAACTGACCTAATTATACAGAGCTGCCACCTAGAAAAAGCTGTATCTAATACACAGAGCTATTATTAGGCTTTTCACTGAATATTGTAATCATTATGGCTTCTTGTATTTAAAAGCTCTGTTCAAATTTCCTATTTCAGGGCTACAAATGATAGTTTGTAAGAATGAATAAAATGTTTGAAAATATATACATTTCTCTAGTATTCAAATACATTAGACTTAGATGCTCTGTTAAAGTGATGTACAAGATAAAACAAAACAAAACAAAACAAATACCTTTTGCCCTGGGTTCCTGGCTCAAAAGAGGGAGATTACCTGGAGGCCAAGTTCCCTAGGACGATTACTCATTAGCTTATTCAAAGAGGTTTTACAGCCTCAGCCCATTTGTCAAATTGACTCTTGCCCAAATTTCTCTGGCACACAAATGACCAAACAGTTAGCCCTCCCATTAGTAGTCTCAGCAGGAGCCAACACATGAATGAGCACGGAGCCTCTTTCTCCCACCAGCAGAGGCCAACCAGCGCTGCGTGCAAGCCAAGTGTCTCAGAATTACCACAGATATACCAGTGTTAGATAATAAATACTTGAACTGCAGATAATGGGACCTCTGCTTTCCCAGACTTTGCCTCTGGCAGTGATGTAAGGAATGGGGCTTGCTTAAAATAATGGATTTCTTTTTCCTTCCTGTTTTTAGACATCTAAAGCTGTAGCTTATTCTGTATGTCAGGGAACTGAAGACATTTGGTTAAAAGGTAACAGATAATCTGTTGTTAAAGATGATTTGGGCTGCGCAAGTGCAAGGACCTGAGTTCGATCCTCAGTAACAAAAAAAAAAAGATGTTTTGGGAGGGTTCTGCTTCTTATCAGCTGATGTGTTATTTCTTTATAAGTAAAGATACTGGGTAAGAAAATAAACAAACCCTTTTCACATTAGAATCTACTAGAATATTATTTAAGGACAAAAAGCAGCACTCCGTGAAAGCAATTCTTCACTGAGACTACACATCCAATGAATGTGGCCATAAAAGACTCCTGTATCCCTGTTATACACGGGAAGCAGACCCACTGGCTCATTTATATTAGCCTCTCAGGGCCCATAGGACAGAAACAATTTCCTTTCACTCTCAGCCAGGTTGGAAATGACCCAGTCATTCAGAAGCAAACAGGATGTGAGTTGATTTTTTTAAAAAAGTCAACTAGATAACAAAACCTTTGATTCAGCTAGAAATAGGTCCTTTGTTTTGCACCTAAAAAAGAAATGATAAAATACAGAAGTATAATTGAAGAAAGCATGCATTTTTATATGTTAAAATATCTTCTTGGTTTTTGAGAATGCACATAAAATCCAGCAGAAATAATTTATTATGATATAGCTCATTTGACACATTAAGAATATAATTGAAACGTGCCCCATCCAAGAAGTACAAATGAGTCTCGGTGACATCAGCTGAAATACCCTGGCTCCTGCTTGTGTGGTTTGTGGGGACTTTTGAAAACCTCAAGAGACTTCAGTGGTTGTCTGTAGGGCTTTGTAGAGGGTTTGCAAAGTCCAGAGTAAAACTGATTTTGCTTTATGCCCATGGAGGCAAATTCTGTTATTATTTTACCCAGTGTTTTAGTTTTCTACCATGTAGTCATGAGGAAAATGTCTGCTTTTATTCAACACCTGTACCAGAACGCTGGCATTCATATGTTAATGAAAGACACATGTTTAACAGCAATGTCAGAAATATTTACGGTACATACATTCAGGTTGTCTACCAGGTGTTAAATGTGAGATAGTATTCTCTGAAAAGGACAACCAGAAAAAGATTTTAATTTATGCTTTAATAATTGTGATGAAAACATTAACTGTAATTCTAATCATACCAGACATCATTAGCTTCTATGACCTCCTCTCTTTTCTAATAAAGGGAATTGGCAGTCTTAGCATTTATTTTTTTTGGCTAATCACAGTAAGTTTTTCTCAAACTTGGTACTCAAGTACAAGGAATGTGAATGTCAGTGGGGAAGGGAAGAGGGGAAGAGGTTGGTTTAAGTGAACACAAGAGAGCAGGAGGCTGGAGATCTGAAGCTGCCGTGGCCAGCAGATCCCAGAGGTATGACACTGGATAGCTACCATGCTAACTTTCATCATATTCTCCTCAGACTGTTTTCATTATTCAAAGAAATAATAAAAAGCAAAATAATAAAATAATTCCTAATTGCAAAGAAATAGTTTGGATAGGCACTAGACAAAAATCACCTTGGGATACTCCCTAGGATCAGAGAGCTTGGGCTGCATTGCTGGAATAAGCTACCAAGCAACTGAACATGTCTTACTGTACTAGGAAAAGAAGTCACTCGTGCCTCAAAATACGTATTTGAAAGAAAGTAGCTAAGTCACTATTATGGTAAACACAATTTCATTGTCATGCTTTATGATTTAGTATCATTTTCAGTTACACTGTAAACATTTTGAGTTACATTTTAAAAGGGACACAGATCCTGCCAGCATTCAGCATTCCTAAGTGCTACCAATTTCTCCTGAAAATACATATATAAACAACCACCTCAGAGCTGGTTTCTTCTTTCTACTCTATATCATGCAGATAAGACTGTTTGAAAGCCTCAGTACCTTCTTTTGTCTGCTCTCAGCGGCAGCCAGCTGGGTGGACATCCTTTCTTGCATTTTTCTGCAGTGGGCCATGACTGCTTCAAGGATGGACAGGGGGTTAGTACAAACTGGCTTCTTCTCTTTGTCACCAGCACCTGCTTCATAGTCTCTCTGGAGCGCCAAGAACGGGTCATTTAGATTAAACCTTCCATACCGTTCCTGGATAAACACCTCCTTCCGGCGAGCCTAGAACAAAATAAGAGGAATGTATTTAAAAAAATTAAAATATACAAAACTGTATTGTAAGGTTTCATGACTTGACAACTGCCATAATGGCTACAAGGTCAAGTGGTAAGAGAAAGGCCACTGCGATCCCTAACCCCTGCCTACCCTGGCATGCCATCAGTCCAATTTAAAAAGTTTTTCCTGCTATAAAGGTTCCCCAAAGGCTGTAAAGGCTTGGTACCTACCGTGTGGTGTTACTGGGAGGTGGGGGATACTGGAAGGAAGTTAGGCTAACAAGGGTGCGCCCTTGACCCTGGCCTCTCTCATTCCTTTTTCTTACCAGCTATCAAGAAGGGAGCAGCCTCTTCCCACACACAGGCTCACAGCAGTAGGACCAAGTGACCACAAACTGAAGCCTCTGAAACCATGAGCTGAAATAAATCTCTGCTCCTTTTAAGTTAATTATCTTAGGTATTTTTGTCATAGTGATAGAAAGCTGACTAACACACTTTTTCACTTACAAACGTTGTTGTAATACAAATGATGAAGAAGTTTTTCCCATGATCCCCTAACTCCCTTAAAAAAAAAATCTAAATTTTAGCTGTAGCCTTTTCCAATTTAAAGTAAAATCAGTGACCATTATACATTATACACATGTACAAGTTACTACACTGTACCCAAAGAGCTTGCACAAATAAAAAATTTAAAACAAAGTCAGAAATATTGACAAAACAAATTTTAGCAAAAGTTCAAAAATAAATAAAATTATCTCTATCATTACAGAACTTACATTTCAAAGAATAATCAGGTTAAGTAACAACAAATAAATTCCTTACATTTTTTAACCAGAGAGCAAGCATAAGGACATTTGCTAGAAAAAAAAATCTGTAAAAAATTTTATGTAAGAAAATTATAATATCCATATTTTATAAAGTTTGGCCAGAAAATTTTTAAAAAGCCTTCAGAAAATTTTGAAAAATGCAATTATCTCCTCACTGTTAAAGGCCATTTAAATATAATTAACAGAATCCCAGGAAAGAATACAACCTCATTTACTCTAAATGTCAGTCCATCAGTGATCAAGTTAATTTCACACTCACATAATGAACCCTAAATACAATTTTTTATAATTAGCCTAGCAGTCTTTACATAAAATATAAAAGAGCAGTAGAAATATATTGAAAACTGGTAACATTTTCCCAATTGGGGTCATTTTGGAATAGCCACTAGGAAGAAAAATTATTCCATGTCACTGCCATTGGAAAAAACTGTATTATAATAAAACCAAGCTCAAGTCTCTCAAATGTTAAATGTTTTCTAAAGAAATACTACATATAATTAAGTCATTAAACAACTAACTTTTCCTATTGGTAGACCACTGTCAGAAAGGCAACAACTAGATAAATAAGTGCTGTGTCAAATGAGAAAGACCTATCATTTCTTTTCCTATTACCAAATTGGGTTAAGAAGTAAAAAACCTCCAGTTCCACCGCTAAATTGAAGCTAGCTTTCAGAAAATCATTTCAAATTTGAAAGACAAGGTTTATGAGTTAAAAGTATTTGATGTTTCTATGCTCTTCAAATTCAATTATGTAATCAATACACTAAGTATCACTTGAGAGATGCAATTCCACTTTGTACTTCACTTTTCTCTTCATATTTATTTAATGTAGTTCCTCACTCATCCTTGGATAAAAGCTTGAACAGCTCCGTGGTTTTTCTCATCAATTTTATTTAATGAAAGTCTATAGTTACCTTCAGCCACAGAACAGTCTCAATGTGGTTATTTGGAAATTCATGGCAGTTTTCTCTCACCCGCTGGCATCTGCTGCAGAGTGACCCACTCCTCTGCCATCAAAGCCTCCTTACCCTCTTTCTATGCTGTTCTAGAACTCTCTGGGCTGGGAGGGGCTGGAGGTGGATAATGAAGGGAGGGAAGTTGTAACAGTGTACCTGACTGGTTCTGCTATCTTTATTGACTGAGTGTGGCAAATATTTAAAGTCCATTCTTTTCCCATGAAATGCTTGGTGCCTTTCTTAAAGGTCTGCCCCCTCTCCTAATGGTAGGGTCCCCTCATCCATTTGCCTCAATGTAGGCCATAAATCTAGGACATCCTACCTAATCTGTAAGACCCAATACAAAAATGGAAATGTGGGGCTTTTAGTTCAAAAATTACTAAGAATTTCAAGGTGACAATAGCACAGCACATAACCAAGCATGGCGCCTAAGTGCACAGTCTTTGCAAGGGCACAGGCTGAATGCCCATGAAGTCAGCCTGCACGTGCTCCTTATGCAGCATTTCAAATCCAGCTTTCACTGGAGATCCCGAGTTCTCTCTAGACTGATCTATCAAACAGGGCCTGAGTCATTGTCATTCTCACTCTTCCCATGGTTCCATCTTGGAAACATTCAGGAACCTTTATCCAAATGAAAGCTGATAATCTCCACAAGACAATATAACCTCCTCTCTTTCACTTCCACAGAATGACTATTTGTGCAACTCTACCTCCACTTAGCCCCACAAGATCTTCAGAAGAAACCTATTTGGTCATTAGTCTTCTTGGAACATTTTCTCATTACTTGAGATGAAGGAAAAAGTAACTGGCTGGGGCAAAACTCATCACACAGTTCTCTGGAGAAAAATGCACTTTGATGAAAATCTTCTTCCTTAATCTCTTACAATTCAATTTTTTAATGCTTTCAACACAAGAAAAAGATTAAAAAGTCAAAACTTATTTCAAATATTTCTTCTGCAAATTTTCAAGTTGGTCTTCACTTTAGTATTTGATATTTATTATAGGTTCCTGCTGAAATTACATTTTAATAACCCACTTTCATTACTATGTCTGGGTGAATATGTCTATTCACTGAGGAAAGATAATCCATGCTGTACAATACTTACAATACTAATTCAGACCATTTCTTAACACATAGGTTATTCTTAAATCAGGATGAACTTTTGATGCATGGGTTAAAATTAATTTTTGCATAATGTAAGAGGTAAATACATTTATCACGGATCCATTTCTAGTTTTGCCCAGTAAATTTTATGGTCTGGAAAATGTTAACTTTTATTAACTAGTATGAAATAGTTTTGTGTATGTATTTTTGTCATGTTTGGTTTTGTCTTTAAATGTCAAGGTTTATTCACAATAGCCAAGATATGAACTCAATTGAGGTACCTACTGACAGATGAATAAAGAAAATGTAGTATTTATACACAAAAAGGTATTACTCAGCCTTAAAAAAGGAGTGAATCCAGTCATTTTCAGCAACATGGAAGGAACCAGAAGACATGTTACATGCACTAAGTCAGGCACAGAAAGACATACTGCATGTTGTCACTCACGTGTAAAGCTCGAAATGCTGATCTAGAAATAGAGAACAGAATAGTGGTCTACAGGCTAAGAAAGGTGGGGAAGAAGAAGTACAGTAGGAAGTTGAATAACCAATGCTAAAATACAATCAGACAGGAGGAATAAGCTCTAGTGTTCTTGAGCACATAAGGCTAACTATAGTTTAAAACAATTATCTCAAAATAACTAGAACAGGGGAGTTCAAAAGTTTCCAACACAAAGAAATAATATTTGAGGAGTTGGAAATGCTAATTACCTAGATTTGATCATTACATACTATGTATATGTTTCAAATTATCATGCTGTCCTCCATTAATATATAATGATTATATGTCAAAATTTAAAAAAAAATTACTAGCTTTAACTGACCATCACACTGTGATATTTAAAAATAGACAACTTTTTTCTGCTGTAAATGCTGTATAATTGTATGTATACAGGACCATACACATGGAAATGTCAGTTAGTTTGCTTTGCAAATATGGAATGATGTTTAACCTTTACAAGGAGGTACAAGATACATATATTAGCTTTCTTTAAGGGCAGATGGTGGCTCTGTGTTTATTGCTAACTATGAAATTATGTTCCCGATTATCTTTAGTTTTCAAAATGAGAGAAATGAAGCAACCTTCATTCGTCTAAGACACCTTGAGTTTAGACAACAAATCTGATTTCATTTTTTTAAGTTCCTAAAAGTACAAGCACCCTTAGGTAAAATGAATATCAAAGACCTCATGTATTCCAATAACATCAAACTAACCTCTGAATTCAGGTTTACTGTTTTCAGAGTTGCCAAGTACTAACTGTACTCTATGACCACGTGCACTGTGTTTATGCACATATCCAACACGATGTTTTGTATCTCTGCTTATAGGTAGGATTTATAGAATCAATAATCCTAAGACAGAAAAGGTTCAGTTTTATCCACAGGTTTCTAACAGACGTCTAAAGAACAGGGTAGTTGCTTATCTTGATTCCAGGTTTAAAACAGAACATGACATGAAGAAGAAATGCTTTAAAATCAACAGTGCATTCTTCACATGGAATATATCAAATTACTCAGTAAGCAACTCATTTTAAAATTATTTTTATATATTTGGTATTAAAAAATATGTTTTTCATTGCTTCTTACTAAAGAGATATAGAAAATTTTCTTCTTTCAACAGTCCCTGTCTGAAGCAGACGAGTTTTCCCAGTTGGAACAAGAGAGAACACAGTCATTACTATTATGCACCTGGGAACTTCAGGTACCTTGGAAATTTTAGGACCTCACTACAAGGATGCTGGGCAATGCAGACACACAAATTCCTGCAGGAACCAGGCAGCTAACTCCACATGCATACTTAGCATTCTGTAGACCAGTGTGGAATGGCAGGCTTCTGGTGAGCTAGAGATGCTGTGCTCTTAACAGAGGGCATTCAAGTCTAACACAGCATGACACTTCACTAGTCAAACAAAGTACAGTTGGCTGACCTGGCTTGGCCAGCAGGAAATTCACTCTGTAATGTCTGATTTATGGGAAGTATCCAGTACTGTGATGCTAGCTGGGCTCACTCTACTCTTACTCATTTTGCTTTGAGTTTTAAGTGAGAGATTTTTATTTAAGTGACATCCTTCCAACTGACCACAGGGCATACAAAGGCTGTATAATGCATACTTGCTTT